TATTGGCCAGCACAGATGTCAAACGCTTTTTATAGTTGGTGACAAGGTTTGTGCACATTTTGGCAGGGATGTTGGCCCACTCCTCCCTGCAGACAGCCTCCAAATCTTTCAGGTTCCGAGGTTGTCGCCTGGCAACTCGAATTTTAAGCTCCCTCCAAAGATTTTCAATTGGATTCAGGTCTGGAGACTGGCTAGGCCTTGACTGGCTAGACCTTGATGTGCTTCTTCTTCAGCCACTCTTTTGTTGCTTTGGCGGTGTGCTTAGGGTCGTTGTCGTGCTGAAACACCCATCCTCGACCCATCTTCAGCTCTCTCACTGAGGGAAGGAGATGTTGGTCCAGAATTCCACGATACATGGCCCCGTTCATCCTCCCCTCAATATGATGGAGTTGTCCCGTCCCCTTGGCTGAAAAGCACCCCCAAAGCATGATGTTGCCACCACCATGCTTGACGGTGGGGATGGTGTTCTTTGGTTTGTACTCGGTGTTCTTTGCCCTCCAAACACGACGAGTTGAGTTGAGGCCAAAAAGTTCTATTTTGGTCTCATCTGACCACATCACCTTCTTCCAGGCCTCTTCTGAGTCGTCCAGGTGGTGAATGGCGAACTTCATGCGGGCCTGTACGTGTTTCTTCTTGAGCAGGGGGACCTTGCGTGCGCTGCAGGATTTCAATCCATGACGGCGTAGTGTTACCAACCGTTTCTTTTGTAACTGTGGTCCCAGCTGCCTTCAGTTGATTCATCAGTTCCCCCCTTGTGGTTTTCGGATGATTCCTCACCGTTCGCATGATCAGGGACACCCCACGAGGCGAGATCTTGTGTGGAGGCCCAGACCGAGGGAGGTTGGCGGTGGTGTGGTGCTTCTTCCATTTCCTGATAACTGCACCGACAGTTGATCTTTTCTCTCCAAGTTGCTTTCCGATTCTCTTGTAGCCCATCCCAGCCTTATGCAGATCAACAATCTTGTCCCTGATGTCCGTAGAAAGCTCTTTGGTCTTGCCCATGGTGGTGATGTTGGATGCTGGTTGTTTGGGTGTTGACAGGTGTCTTTTATACAGGTAACGAGGTGAGGCAGGTGTATTTGATGTAGATAATTGGTTGGGATTGGGGCTGTGTCTTAAAGAAAGACTAACTGGCTTGTAGGAGCCAGAATACTTGCTGTTTGGTAGGGGGTCATATACTTGTTTTTCCTCATCAGATGGTTATCAATTTTTATAAATTCATATGATGTGATTTTCTGGAATTTTCTTTGGGATTCTGTCTTTCACTGTTAGAATGTACATATGATTAAAATTATAGATCGTTGCATTCTTTGTAAGTGGGCAAACCTGCAAAATCAGCAAGGGGTCAAATACTTATTTCCCCCACTGTATAGGGACTAGCCAATAAAAATGCAATATGACATGGCGTATTGATTAAGGCGACATGCCGCTAAAACTTACAACTACTTTCCTCAAGCTCCATTTATTTACTAAATCGGCATGCCAAGTTGACCTAATTTTACTAGCAATGACCGCGTCCATATTCTCCTCTTCTTCAGCGCACATAAAAACCACAATTGCCAAAGTGTGATTTATCTTACTCTATTTGTTGACCACTAGCACATGCTGATGAAGTTTTATTCTTCTATACTAACTTCCGTCGAAGCCTACGATTCAATAAGAGCCATCATCGTACAGACTACATACAGTACATGTCTTATACACTCTAAACAATGCTGGGTTGTTTTAACCCAAATTTGGGTCACATGTGGACAAACCCTAATGTTGGGTTAAAAATTTAATTAAAAATTTTAACCCAACTTCAACTTTCACTTTCAACTGTAAATTTTTGAATTACATTTTTAACCCAACATTTGGGTTTGTCCATATTTGACCCAAATTTGGGTTGAAACAACCCAGCATTTTTTAGAGTGATATGTTTATTAGATCCATGTCATACAGTGTGATTTGTAATGATCTTATAAGATTGGCGAAATCACACAGTCCGTAGCAGGCATTAAAAATAAAGCCCCTTTATTGGCTCTATGAAGAACCTTTAACATCCATGGTATCTTTCCATTGCACATACAGTTCTTTATAGTGGAAAAAGGTTCTTTAGATTATTAAAATATTAGGTTCTGTTAAGAGCTGTTCACTGAAAAGGTTCTTTGGGGAACCAACACTTGTTCTTCCGTGCATGGCTTCGCTATATAACCCCCCTTTTAAAGGCTTTATTTTTAAGAGTGTACTGGTTAGTCTGAAGCCTTGAGACACGAGTACACACACTCAAGATTTCTCACACACTCATTTTCCTCCCCAAAGTTCATTTTCTCACTGTTGTAAGGAAGTTGAAGGAGGTCAGATCTGCTTCCTGGTTTTGTTCGACGCTACAGGGATAGAGAGAAGCAGACAGAGGGAGGTCCTTCATAACAGGTGACTGGTTTTAACGTTTCTGCATGAATGTCAGTGGCATTATGACATGAGGTCAGTGTTTCCACGGCGACAAAGAAACATGTTGATGTGGAGAATTACGTCAGAACGCGCACACACACACACACACACTGAGTCAGTCTGCGCACTCCGTTCAGCTCTTGTTGTTTCGGTCTGGCTTTAGACTTATCCAGAACCGCTCATCGATTCGCCCAACCAACAGAACGCACAAAAGACAAACAGGCAACCCGGTAACCAAACACACACACACACACACACACACACACAAACCTCCAATACAAACAAAGCGGGTAAGCACATGGGACACACTTCCTACAGGTCGGTGCAAGACAGGGCACAACGTGAGCCTGAACAAAACATGCAAAGAATGCGGCTTCCAAATGACTTCAATACAACAACTAAAGTGTTCAAATTCGGTTCATTCTCAAATAAGAAGTGTGCTGACACGATTTAAAAGGCTCGAACGCGCTCAGCCCAGATAAAATGCGACAAATGCTTCTTTTCAGTTGTGCCACAAAGGAATGCTCAGGTGAGTAACGCCTCGGGATATGCATTCTTTACCTTCCCACACGGAGAATCACTTTTCAAGAAGAAATCGGCCTGGCTGCTATAGAAAGTAACAGTTAAAAATGTTTTCTAACTTTGCTTTTTTTGAGAAAATAATACTTTTATTCAGCAAGGATGCAGACAAAAGTGACAGTAAAGATATTTATAATGTTGCAAAAATGTCTTTTTGAAATAAATGCTTTCTTTTGAAGTATCCTGAAAAATAAAATGCATCACGTTTTTTTCCTAACACAAAACTATGAAGCAGCACAACTGTTTTCAACATTGATAATAATCAGAAATGTTTCTTGAGCAGTAAATCATCATATTAGAGTGATTTCTGAAGGATCATGTGACACTGAAGACTGGAGTAATGATGCTGAAAATACAGCTTTGATCACAGGAATAAATGACATTTTAACATTTATTGAATAGGAAACACTTATTTTAAATTGCAATAATATTTCACAATTTTACTGTATTTTTATCAAATAAATTTATTTATTTGTTTTAAAAATGTGACTGACCCCGAACTTTTCAACGTAATAATAATAATACTAAAACAGGAAGAAACATCTGCCAACATCTGAAGTGTTCATAACTCATTGACAGATATTTGTTCTTGTTTTAAGCATAAACTCACTTCATTTTGTTCAGTTTTTCAAGACTTAACTTGTCATGTTTAGATGTTTGAATTTGGAAATTGAATTTTTTTTTTGCAATGCATGCAACATTTAATGCCATGACCATGAATCTAAGAACTTTTTAAAGGCCTTGAATTGTGTAAGAGTAAATTAAGACTTTTTAAGACCTTTCTAAACCTTGATAACTTTGATTTGTTGTTCTACTGAACAACCAAACTTCCCCTGCAGCCTCACCCTAAACCCTGACCCTGACCCGATCCGATCCGGGCGTTCGGGACAGCTGTTTAGGGTGAGGTGATCAGGGGGATTGAGTTTCCTTCCCACCGCCGAAAGAAACCTCCTGTCGCTTTCTGTTAGACTCACCACAACCAGACAGACACATCTCGAGAGAGAGAGAGAGAGAGACAGACAGTCTGTGTTGTCATATTCCTAAACATAACATGCAACATGACAGCATTCAACTGTGTCCAAAGAAAGCCAATGACAAATTCAGCAAATGAAAACACAGTTATCTCAGAAATAATGACAACGCCTCCTTCAGAACAAGGCGACACTGTCCACGCAGAAAAATGCTGTGACCTGTCCAGAGGTGCACTTTATCTAAAACATACTCAAACAACATTTGCATAATAAACACCGCTTTTATGAACTCATTTTACTAACATTCAGGACTATTCAAATGAGCTGCAAATGTTAAAATGGTTTTTAAGAAAGCACAATAAAGCCTACACTTTACTTTTCAATTTTAACCTAATATCCTAAAGTTCAAACATATAGCCTATCTTACTTTAAGAAAAACGATATATATTGAAAATACACACATGAACTCTTTCAATAGTTGTAGGACTATCTATGCAAGCTAATCAACCAGTGAACAAAAGTGAAACCCGATGCATTATTAAATAAAGCTATGCATAACACACTGCATTAAACTCATAAACTTGACTCATTTCTGTGTGTGTGTGTGTGTGTGTGTGTGTGTGTGAGAGCATGAGATTGACAACAGCATCAGGCTGGAGAGGCTCTACTGCTGCTGTAAGTGTTTGGATGGATACATGCATGTTTCATCTCACAGACAGACAGACAGATACACAGACGAGACAGTCTCTGCTCGGTTTCACGATTCTCTCGGTAAAGCCGCGTTTAAATGTCCCGTCGGCAGCGCGAGCTCGGAGACTCCCCACGGGCGCTAGCGCGTGCTAACGGACACTGATTTCCCCCACCACATATTTCTGGGTCGACATGAACATTAGAGACCCGTGCCGTTGGTGCATTCCTAACACTGGCATTAAATGCACCCGTAAAAGATTGCGGACCAGTTAAAGTGCAGGGTAACCAGGCCTACATAGGCTACTCCTCCGCGGGCCGGTTCGCGCTTACCGTGCTTGCCTTCTATTTTCCCCGACATGATCGCTGCGCTGGCCGGAGCAAATCCTCAGTTTGGACAGTCACAGGAGGACAAAATGGGGAATTTAGGCCACAGTAATCCCGAGTTATATTCTTCAGCCACACATTTTGATGTACTGGGTCAATGTGGCTATATAGATCCCCGGAGAAAGCGGGCTACAATCCGTTCACATGCACGCGCTGGCGGCAGACAGACAGTGAAATCTACTGCTGATGTGTGTGTGTGTGTGTGTGTGTGTGTACGGAGAGTCCCGTCCGTCCCGAGGATCCATTGGGATGCGAACACAGCGCCCCTCTCTGACTGGAATCACGAGCTACAGGGATTGTTTGGTGTCAGACTCAGACTGACAGGAATAATTAAGCTAAAACACACATTCTGTCGATATTTACTCTCCCTCGTGTCTTTCAGAAGCTGTATCAGTTTCTGTCTTTAGTGGAAGACCAAATGAGATGTTTGTCTGAATGTTCACGCTGCTCTTTTCCGTACCATGAAAGTGAATGGGGACTAGCGGGCTGTCGAACAAATCAAAACTAGACTAAAAATAGTCCAAACGACTTCAGCCCTATATTCCTTTAACAGTTATCCCCTAAAACTAAATAACAGACTCTATTTTTATGTCATAGTAAAGTGCAGTACCGGTCAAAAGTTTGGAAATATTCAGATTTTTAATTATTAAGTCTCTTATGCTCATCAAGACGGCATTTATTTGATCAAACATACAGAAAAAACAGTGATATTGTGAAATATTATTACAATTTAAAATAATGGTTTTCTATTTTAATATACTTTAAAATATACTTTATTCCAGTGATCAAAGCTGGATTTTCAGCATCGTTACTCCAGTCTTCAGTGTCACATGATCCTTCAGAAATCACTCTAATATGATGATTTGTTATGGAAACAGTTGTGCAGCTTAATATTTTTTTTATAATCTGTGAAACTTTTTCCCACTTTCTTTCATTATCCATTATTTGATGAATAAAAAGTTTTAAAAGAACAGTATTTATTTAAAATATAAATCTTTTGTAGTATACACATTAAAAAGTGATAGTAATGATCTATATTTTAAATAAAGGCTGTTCTTTTGAACTTTTAATTCATCAATGAATCTTGAAAAAAGCATCACAGGTTATTAAAAAAATGTCAAGCAGCACAACTGTTTCCAACATTGATAATAAATCATCATATTATGATTTCTGAAGGATCATGTGACACTAAAGAGTGGAGTAATAATGCTGAAAATTCAGCTTTGAATCACAGAAATAAATTATATTTTAAAGTATATTAAAATAGAAAACCATTATTTTGAATTACACAATATTATTGTTTTTTCCCCCTGTATTTTTGATCAAATAAATGCAGGCTTGATGAGCCGAAGAGACTTCTTTCAAGAACATTAAAAATAGCAAAATGTCCAAACTTTTGACCAGTAGTCACTTGTACTTTGCTACATAGTCTCTATCATATTGTTACTGGCTAGTGGTCGACTCAAATGGGTTTTTCAATGGCTGATCCTGATTTAAAGAAAGATGGACAATAAAACGTTGAAATAGCCTATATTATTATTATTATTTTATTTATTTTTTTGATTGTATCAAGAATACTTCACAACGTAAAGTACTAAGAAAAAAATAAGAAAATATTAGAATTATTTTTAAAAAAAATGATTACAATCAATTAAATTACTTCCAATATATTACAAAAATAAAATGTGACTTTTTAGTGTACTCAGAAAAACTCACTTAAGGATCTGAAGCGTGGCGATCTGCTGCCATCTAGCGGATAGATGATGAAATCACAACATTATTCCATATACGAACGAATCAGTTTGTCATTTAAAAATAAATAAATGATACTATAGTATACATGAGAGAGAGAGAGTAACATTGGTTAATTTCTCGAGACAAAAAAACAATTTAACAAGTTTTAAGTGTTCATTAACGAAGAGACACTAATGAGTCTTTTTAGTGTCGCTGCAATAACCTCTTCCAACCGCTAGAGGGGGCGCTCGAACACTCCCGCACAATGACTCGCCTACTGTAGGGTGCATTCAGGGCGACTGACACGGAAAAAGTGTCACAATCAACCTGAATTCATCCTATATCATATCTTCCATTAGAAAGGGGTCACTTGCGCTTCAGCCTAGTTGGTGCTCACGCAGGGCCGGACTGGGACCAAAATTCGGCCCTGGCATTTGTGGTTTTCACCGGCCCAACTAATTGATGACGTTAAAAAACGTCCCCTGAATCTGAACATTTTTCCCACTGAGACACACCATACAAGGCAGCAATTTAGGCGCGTTTCCATTACAGATTTGCGCAAAACTTTTGCGATTTTTTCTAAATGTCGATAAAAAACTATTGCGAAATGACGGCGTTTCCATTAACTGATGTTATGCGATACAACGTCCTTTTTTTCTCTCGCGATAAGTCATTTAAACATCATGGCAACGGGTCTATCAGCCACCACCACACTAGACATTATTATTATTATTAATGGAATGAGACGTGGTGTGTTATCCAAGCATTAATGGCAGGGAAAGACGCATACTGCTAAGGAGTTTCTGGGTGTTTCTCTCTCATTTCTGCCCCGAGGTCTTGATTGTGGCATTTCTTTGAGGTTTAGAATCCAGTATTCCTGAAGCCTAATTATTGTTTATTTTATGAATTTAATAAAGAACTCTGTCCAAACGGTCAGTGTACATTTGTGTCCATTCGTTTTTCCTTTTTTAACCCGTATTGCAAAACGAAAAATGAACGGTGATTTTTTTATTTAAAATGCAAAGTTAACCAGCAATTTTTTTTTTTAATTTGAACTGTACACAAATGCTGTGCAAAAATAATAATATATCGACTAAATTTCAGATGTTTCTTTGACTTTTTGCCCCTTTATTAAACATTTAAAATATTCACAACTTAATACGAACAAAATGTAGATTTTAATGGTTTTCTAAGGGCAAATTAGAACCTGGAAATTATATTTTTCCCGCAGTGCTGAATGAGAAGAGCCATATTTATGTCTTTGGAACCACAAGGTGATTTAGGTGAGTTATAGGCTAATGATAATAAATCTGTCTGAAAAAATAATGAGTCATTTTAATTGTTTATTAATAAACTATTGTTTTCTAAATCAGTGTCGGCTAAAAACATATCTCCATCTCCGCTGAGGCGCGCCGCGCGAATGCACCTTTAGAGAGAAATACACCTTTCATAAGGATTACATCATCAGAATGTATTAGCTTTCGATTCGAATTTGTTCGTTTTAAAGTGGACACTTCAAGCTTTAGCCTAGGCTATAGCCTACTTTGTTTCAGTTCTCGCGCTCCAGTTCACGGAGATCATGAAAGCGCGCATGATTGTTTTATTTTATTTTACAAAAGCACAACGTTTTCTTGTTATTGTGAGTTTACACAAATAAAATCATAGTGGCGAATAATGTATTATTATTTTCTGTATGACCAGAAATTATAGAGTAGGCCTATTTTAAGTTGTTTCTACTGTTGATAGGAAAATGCAAGTGTTCGCGGCCGCGCCTCCGTGCCATGCGCGCTCAGCAAACACTTGGATATGCGTCAAAATCTTGTGTTTATTTGTGATAATCTTAGCCCTGTATTATTATTGTCTAACCATTATGAATGACATTTGACGAATTGCTTTGTTCCTTTTTTTGGATAAAAGCGTCTTCTAAATATGTAGCCTAATAACTGTTATAATAATGATGATATTTATTAGCCTATTATTTGCGTATATCACGGACCCCAAACACACCGCGTCTTCAGGTGACTGTAAATGCGCAAAAACTGTTTCCATTGCAGTTTTGCGAAATATTCCTTTTTCGAATTGCCTGAAAAACCTCCTCATGCGAGTGTAAAAACTTTTTTGCGATAAAGGTGCAGCAACGTGGTCAGCTCGGCCCAAAACAATAGAAAATCACACCGGCCCTTCTGGCATGTGCATGCCAGAATTGCCAGATGGCCAATCCGGGCCTGTGCTCACGGAACACAGGACACAGAAATCGAAGAAAAAAGACCCAAGGTCTAGCTAGGACCAAGGAGCAGGACCGGAGCACAGAACGTTTTAATTATTTTTATCTGTAGCCTACTAATAAAAATAATTAAAACCTCCTGCTCCTTGGTCCTAGCCAGACCTTGGTTCTTTTTTCTTAGATATCATTTCTTCCATGTTCAACTTGATCTTGCCTAAAGAAAACACCCAGTCAGCAGCAAATCTTCACTATTTCAAAGAAACAAGAAGTAACACAACAAGATAAGTGTGTATTTTCGTTTAATATTATTCCATATACAGCAAGGAGAAGTCAACTTTAATGTTCTTTTGAACAGAGAGAAAGTCAGTTGACTGAGTATCTCTCCTAAAACAACCAGGGATGTAGTGGAGGCTAAACGCACGTAAACGCCGTTTACGCACCTCCCAATATTCGGAAATAGCGTTTACCCACCTCCAAAGTGCGTTTATCCACCTCTAAATTGCGTTTATCCACCTCTAAATAGCTATAAATTAAGCTTATGTCGTTTTAGTTGCATATTGTTCATTATTAGTTTCATAGGTTGTTAAACCTAAGATGACCTCTTTCATATTGCGCTGCATTACTGTCAGTGTTGTTGACTTTTACTGACGGTAAGGTTGCGCTGTTGACGCTCGCGCAGCCTCTCGAGGAGACATCTACACAAATGAGCGCACACACACACTCAGTTAACAACATACTGCCTATAAAAAATCTAAATGTGGAGTTTTTATATTTTTAATATATGTTAAGCAACCTCAATCATTTTTCCTGAACACCATCACGATTGAAAATGTGACATTGATTTCCTACAACAGTTCAATAAACAGTTAAAATTAAGTCACTTACATTTTAGATGCAATATTGGCTGTTTTTGTTCTGTTTCAGCAGCGAAAATAGTTCCAAACAAAAATCACAGCAGAACCACGGCGCATCTCACAGCCTCTGACTCGACCTGTTTTCATTACTGAATGATTCAGCATTTTGAACGAATCGATTGAGTCAAAGATTCAATGACACATTCATAAACATCTGTCTCATTCTTGAATGAATCAACCGTTTGAACAAATCGTTTGAATGAATGAATTAATGACTCACTCATTAAGACGGTCGCCTGACGCCACCTACTGGCGGTTTCGTGTTATGTTTAAAAGTAGATCATTCTTTCCAATGTTTCTTATTTGTGAATTTAAATCAATTTCATAACATTATTTTATGCAA